TGGAAAAAATGCATTCGAGCTCAAGTGCCAAGCGTTTTCACAACGGTACGGCAACATGATCGGTTACGTGCGGTTGTACGAACACGGTAATGTTTTGAATACAAAGGACAAAATCAATGACGAAATGAGAAGAAATATGAAATCCGCGATACGTATATTCGGAGACATACCGGACTATTTGAAAATAAAACCTCAATAAAAGGCGCTATAAATAATAATTTTTGTTAAAAAAAAACATACATAATAATTATGAAATGTATATTTTTTAATTAATCCTATTTCGTTAGTATGAATACAAAATTATTCAGCGACTACTCAATAAAAACAACATATCTAACATTATAAATTGTAATTAAAATCTGGTTTAACATAATAAAATGTAATATTGACAATTTACAGATGTATGTGGCTTTTTTTGTGGATCTAAAAAGTTTTCGGTTTCACAATAATATGGTTTTCCGATTGTTTTTCGTTTTGAATAACAATCACTTTTTATGATCATTGTCTTCGTGAGGACAATTTTTAAACTGTATAGAACCAACAATTCTGGTAAACCGAAGTTTATCGGTTTTCCATCAAAACTAATACTGAACAACTGAAAAAGCGGTTTTAAGTCAACGTGTTATTTACTTTGCTTCCAATAACTAACACTATGATAGTTCAAAAGGTTTTTTTTAGCTTAATAAAAGTAAAACCCAATCCACAAAAATTATATACTTATTGCATATACGTCTGACCCCTTTTCTCGAAATTATAGCCATTAAAATGTGTACGGTGTTACTCGTATGGTTTTTTTTGTTTCTCAAATTTTAATGGCAAAGAAGAAAACTTTTTAACTCCCCCCCCCCCCCCGTCTAGTGTGCCAACCTATACCTATCTATACAACAAACTACAAAACTAACAATGTAGGATGCGTGTGAATAGGGCCATCTTGCGATAAACCTGGCCAACACGGCCCATCCTAAAGACGGTTTTAAATGGCACTATAAGTATACACACAACCGTACAAATATCTCACCCGGTTTGTGTAGAGCAAGAGTTGTAAACCCGACCTAGGCAGGTCTTAGACAAAATAGGCTAATCAATGATTAGTTTACTGAATTTTAAGATAGGTGGATACAATGTAATTTGCATTCGCAGTACGCACGGTTTAAACGAAAAGTATTGTACAAAGCCTAGCGAACGTGTAGAGCAGACAAATAAAATGTAAAAACATATTATTAACGTTGAAACGGATTTTCTAGTGCAGTAGAATGCGTATATTGGTAGTTTCTTTATTAGAAAAAAAATTTAAGCAAACACTAACGTCGGAACTGTTGGATTTGGTCAATTGGCGGGCCAAGGATACGCTGAGAGAAGCGGCCAACGACGACTGGGCGATTTTGGACTACCAGTTGTTCGAAGGTACGTGCTACATTTGAAAACGACAAACAGAATCAACGAGGAATTGAGAAGAAATATCAAATCTGCGATACCCATATTTGGAGAGATACCGGAATATCTGAAAAAAATGAATGGTTTCATTGTATGCAAATCGATGAACCTCAATAAAAGTCTACATATATATAGCTACATATATAAAAAAACGTTACCAATAGTTATAAAACGTATGCGTGTAATTTATAATAATTCTGTTTAGTTAGTACTAAAGTAAAAAAAGTATTCACTACCTGCTCTTAAAAAGTGTATGTCTAACATTATAAAATGTAACTGAAATCTGGTTTAACATAATAAAATTCAATATCGGCAATTTATTGATCATTGTGTCTTTTATTGCGGACCTGAAAAGTTTTCGGTTACAATATTATACAATATTATGGTTTTCCAATTTTTTTTCTGTACTCTTCGAGTTGACAACATATAAAACGTATATGGTTGAAATCGTACACCGTTGGTAAGCGGTTTTCCGTCTGAACCAATATTGAAATAGCGGTTTTAAGTCAACGTGTTATTGACTTTACTTCCAACAACAAAAGGTGTGTCTCTTTGGGTTTTCGTTAAGCGTGTAGGCCGCACGCCGACAAGACACATTTTGCCGGCACGTTAATTAGATTTAAGTAAAATGTATTTTCAAAACAATGTTTTATTTCTTACGAAGTACAATAAAAATATATACTGAAATATTCAATAAAATTGGTGTTATATTTTAGGTAATAATTATTGTCAAACAGTATACTGATTTCAGGCGTTTTTCTTAGGCAATACTACAAACAAACTAGGAAGAGCCGTAAATAGCGTAAACGGAGCAAATTGTTTTCTTACTTTGATCGGTATTATTGTTTTTGTTAACAGTTATTATTGTTTACCTTTTTAAAGGTTTTGTTGGTTCAAAATCAATCTGTAGTTTTTGTATAAAGGTACCTAAAACTCCTACCTTACTTTGTATTGATAGTATTCTTAGACTATGTCACTATAACAGTTTGGTCGAAATTTGTTGCATTTGTATCAAACAATGTTCAATTTGGAGTATGTTATGTGCAATTTCAAACACTTGCCCGTACTAAAAACAATAACCTTCACGTTGGCTATATCCGATAACAAGTGGGCATGATCGAAAAATGAATTAAGCCTAATAGTTTTATCAAGTATTGTCTGTGTTTTGCGGTCGATAATAGTATAATAATAATTATACGTCTAATGACATTACAAATACCACAAACAAGCTTCGTTTTTCAGTTGGACAGTTTATGTTTTTTTGTAAAAAATATTTTATGGGTTTTCCGAGATGGCGTTTAAAAAATTTTAATTGTTTGGTTTTTTCTTGAAATAGGTAATGGATTTGCCGACTTAGCTTTTCTCGCGTTATTGCGTTGCTTGTTAATTGCTAAAACGAGTTCAATTCGTTTACAGTATTTTTTTTAGTATTTACATCAAATTTTTAATTGAATAGTGGCGACGACTGCTGTTTAGTGTTTACATAAATCCATTATATTATGCATACAGTTTCTATAGTTCGGCACACCACCTGTACTCACATGCAATTAACATTGGCAATATAATAACAACCGTTGGAACTGTTTTGGAACGATTGTTTTCAACCGAATCGGTTAATTTCAATCTTAAAAACACAAAAAAGTTCAAACGTTTAAAATTGTTGTTAGAATCAACTCGGCGATTGCCTATTGTCTAACCTAATCCAAAATATGGTGTAAATATGAACACCGAAATTGCTGGGAAAACTAACTAGTGTTTGAAAAGTTTGTATTTGTTTACCAGAGTAAAAAAATAATTGTACATATTTAGGAGCATTTAATTTGTCACCTTAGCGTGGAAAAAAAAAAGGAAACACATGTTTAATCTTTTGGTATGTATTCAAAAATTAAAAACCAACAATTTTGAACTTGGATAAGTTTTAAGTAAACGTTGGTCTAGCCATTCGCCGTCTACACAAAAAAAATATGCTTTAATGCTTTTGTTGTTTTTAATCTGAATATTGATTTTTTTACCCCTTATAATTAGTTTGTTGTATCGAAATTATAATAAACGTCTAGCCTATTAATTTATTTTGTTTTTTTCCATTACCTTAATTTAATTAAAACCCTAACATAATGTGATACATGCAACAACAATGTGAGTGCATTTCATTGTACATGTTTAATTAACACTTACAATTTAACGTTTAATTATTACTTTTGGAGACAGCTTTGGAATTTTGGTCCAAATCAAAACAGAAAATGTTATCACAAAATACATTAATAATCTAATTTAATTTGTTGCGTTTACCTATAAATTCTAAATGAATCCCGGGACCAGTTCTGAATGTATAAGGGAAAAAAAATCAGAAACAAATTTATAACCTTTAATCCAGTTTAAAAGCGATTAGATTAGGTACAAAACTAGAGATAGTCTCAATCAACCAGATCTGATTCAGCAAAAAAAAAAAAATTATAATACATTTGGATTGGTGCTGCAAAAACCATTCGAATAAATATGCATATAAGCAAATATGCTGTTTGAAAAGTTTTGATAAGGTCTGACATGCGTTAAAATTGCATTATCATATATAATGTACATAAGATAGCTGAACATATTTTGCCCTTGCTTTATTTCACTAAAATTGACTTGGGCCAATGTCTAATAGCCAATAGGTACATACAATATAGTGATCGTCGACCGGCGCCAAAAAAAATTGGCTTTTATTGAATCAAAAAAAAAAATAAAAGAAGTTTGTCAAAAATCGATTATGTGGTTGTTGTGCGTTTTTGTCCAGAAACTTTCAAGCTATTCTGCTTTGACAACTCTCATCAATAATTTTTGTGTGGATTTTTTTTTGTTCAATAAAATAATAATTATGGAAATATAACGTTCCACAACGTCGCACACGGACAAGATAATAATAATATGTCTGTTGTTTGTGTGTATATTTAATTTATCATCATCGTTGTCGACCGTGTCCGGAATAACGATATGACTTGTACTTTATATATTATTACAATATTGTCTCTGTGTGTTATCAGCTGTACCCAGAGCCTCGTATTGCATTGCCACGGTACAATATATAGTGTCCGTGTAAATAGCAATGATAATAATTATTATTATTATCGGTTTTCTATTGGCGTTTTATCGAACAATCAACAGGTCCGTTTGAAATTCGGACGACCCAGTAGACAGCGATCGTGCTGCTGCACACGGTTGACCAAAGTCATATTTCCATAATAATAATATAATAATAAAAAAAAATTAAAATAATAACACTATAACACTCAGTCCAAAGGTACACGCAGCAGTACACGTTGCTGTATGCACACAGAGCGTTTCACACATTATTTGTACTACATAGTGTAGTAGGTACAATATATGTGGAATATACCCTCCTCCCACCGCCCCCCGACTTGTTGTTCACGTGTATGCTGTGTGTGTGTGTACTTGGCAATAATAGTAATAATAATTATAATCGTAATCACGATAATAGTGATAATAACATAAACACACAAACGGTTTTGCTGTGCAGAGCTGTTCTGTACTTGTGTCAACCGAACGGTCTTAATGCGTGCGACGGCGTGTGTGTGTAGTGTGCGCGCCGGTCAATGGTAATAATAATAATTGTTATTGATGTCGTTGTTTGTTATTGTATTATATTGTTTTTTATATTTATAACATTATTATCGCCGCGCGAGGTATGTACAAGTACGATTTTACCGTGTTGCGCGAGTACTGCGACCGATGGCGGTCCAAGGATCTGATCAGAACCCACAGCTCCAAGCGATACGCCATCGTCACCCTGGTCATGTTGGACAACAGGTAAGACGCGATGACCACCTGTTCGCGGCAAAAAAAGCTTCAGGTTTTTGAGGGGAAATATGTATTATTTAGCCCCTCCCCCCCCTCTAAGACTCGCATGAAAACAATTCCACCCCTTCTAGATGAAAGGTGGTACGATAATTGTTTAGGTTGTCGACGCTTGTCGGTAGTGTGGTACTGTGTGTCGAGAATATTCTATACAAATTTAGAACTAATTGGACTATTTTGAAAAAAAAATGTAAATTTTTTGGGGGTTTTTCTCGATTTTGAAAGGAAAGGGATGAACTTTTTACATTTTGAGTCTGATAAAGTACCATACAGGTACGATTTTTGATCTTAAGAGCTGCCACACGGAGAAATCGGTTCAGTGGCTTAAAAGATATCGTGGGTACAGACAGAAAAATATTTTTAAAAAAACACATCATTGTAAATACAATATACCTTCTCAGCTATCGAAACTAAAACTCCATTGGTTCGAAGATGATATGGGTCATCAAGAACATAACTTGAGTTTTATATAAGCAAAATATTTTTTTATTTTTTGGCCCCAAACAATATTTTTAAACATTAAAAAAAAAAATTTTCCAGGATTAAAACAATTTAAAAAAAAACATTAAAGTACACTTAATTAAAATTTTAACTGTACGGGTTACATGTTGATACTATTATGTTTCTGGATAATTTATGTTTAAAAATCAAATCAGCTTGGTTTCAAAATTTTTTTTTTTAATTTTTTTTAATTGTTTTGTCATTAAGGACCTATAAATAATGTATGATAAATAATAAATAACCACAACACTTTTTAGACAGTTTTAAAGTAATTGTGCGTGTCGAGAGAGGGTTTTTAAACGGTGTAAATTCAGATGAAACAAATAATAAAATATAAATACCTATTTATTTTGAAATTAATTTTCAAAAAACTAATTAAAATTAAACATATATTTTTTTATTTCCAAACTGTTTTTATTTATCTCATAGCCCGCGGTATGATTATATATAAATATATATATGTATATATTTATTTTCTTTTAGCTTTTTTTATTATAACCAGTACAAATATCAAAATGGTTAAGTGCACTTTTAGTCGAAAAACACATCCAAGAAAACAATTTTGACCATAAGATTATTATCGGACGGGTATTACTGTTTATCATTTATTTTAATTAAATTTGAAGCAACTCAAGTAAAAAAAATATGTCTACCCCTTCTGGAGAAAAGGTTTTTTTTTTAATTTTTTAGTTTGTCAATGTACATTGATTCAATATAGCAGAAAAATATTCAACATAAATTTGAAACTAATTCGACCATTTTGAAAAAATGTATAGCATGAATTTAAAAGTTATAATTTTAAATTAAATATCGTGTAAGCTTTTTGGGTATTTTTAAACTCAACAGTGTTAACTTAATTATACAACAATACAGTGTTCAAAATGTGTAGATATTGTCCTGAATAGATTGGCCAAGAGTTAATGTGATCGATATGATTATTTTTCATAAATTATTATGTTATTTTATTGCACGAGTCAAGTCCCAAATGTTTAACTGAAGTGTGTGTTTTGAAAAACAATATTTAGATACTGGTTGACCTTTAACTAATTGCGTCGAGTTTCTTTAAAATGAAAGTGTTTCGAATAATGAAAACACTGGTAATTCTACACTTAAGTCATTATGAAATCGTCCAGATATTTTCGGTGTCCGTGAAATTTATACTAATATAATAATAGATAAGTCTAATTAGAATAGCAACAATTTGAATGGAATATTCTTTAGACATAATACTACCGACAAATATTGTCAAACCGAAAAAAATATCCTAAACCCTTTCCCCTAGAAAGGGATAGACATTTTTCAAGCAATGTTTTAGGGATTTAGGTCTGAAAATTAGACCTACTGTAGATCTAGAATAGAACTATATTAATATATACAATTTTCTCGAAAATCTGCTGTAATACTTTTTTTTTATTTTGCTAAGCATTTGTTTTAACTTTGAGCCGAGGAAACATACAGGTCGATTCAATAAGGAATATGTTATTTTACAATATTGGACATTATTCAAATTGGGATTTTTTTATTTCTAGAGCTGTATTAATTCTTAAAACTTGTACGCTGACATAGGTGTATATATGTAATTAACTTTTTACTAACTTGTTATCGACAAGTCAACATTGCCAGTAAATTATTTATAATTTAATAAGTTGATTGAGCTCTAAATAAATACTCGGTAACTTTACAATATTGTACAATACCATAATATATACAAATATTTACAAAGTAAAGTACTTGTTTAAGTATAATATTAACCGTGTGTTTTAGGTACGTGGACGGCGCCCTAGTGCTGGCCGAGTCGATCCAGCGGTACAACGCGGCCAACATCGACAGGTAGTGTTAGAAGTCATTTATTTAACATTTTCCAAAATATTTTATGTGTATTAAATATTTAACTATTTGGTCCTATTGCCTTCACTGCGTGCATTTTTTTGTTTTTATGAAAAAGTTAGGAATGATTAATATTATAATAAAAATATATATATGCCATTTGTAAGTGTTTACTGCACTCTATTGATAAAAATCGTGTCGAAAATCGATAGTTCAGTTATTTTTCGAAAAATGTATGTCTGTGAAATATTTAATTTGTTTTACTGAATAATTTTACAAGACCAAAATGCAAAAATAATAAAAATTGAAATATTTCAAAATTTCAATGACATTTTCAAACACTATCTACAGGGTGTGCATGATCGACAGGAGCGTGTCGGACGCCAACCGCAGGCGGCTGGAAGAGCGTTTCACCCGCGTGGTGAACGTACCCTACATCGTCAAGCAGCTGTCCGACCGGTACCTGCGGTCGCGGCGGCAGCGCGAACTGTACGGCCGCTGGATCGACTACTCGTACACCAAGTGGAACTGCCTGGACGAGGCGCTGTTCGGCCGGTACGACAAGGTGCTGTTCGTGGACGCCGACGTGGTGTTCACCAGCCGGTACCACGCGGACGCGTCGCTGGTGTACGCCGTGTTCGACGTGCCCACGCCGGCCGCGGTCATCTGGAACCCGTACAACCGGAAGCAGTACAGCCCGTACGCGCTCAAGACCGTGCTGGAGGCGCACGGCAACAAGTGTCCCAGCGCCGTGCTCGCCCAGCTATCGCGGCAGGCTTTCAGCGGCGGGTTCACGTTGCTAAAGCCCGACGACGCCGTGCTGCGGCTGGTCAAGTCCACCCGGCCGCCGGCGGACGTGCCGATGAACGGGCCGGACGAGACGCTGCTGTACCACATCTACACCGCGGTGCTGCGCGTCGACATCTACAACCTGAACGCCATATGCAACTACAAGCCGGACGGGTGCAACACGGTGCAGCAGAAGCACAACATCCTGTCCGTCCATTACTACGGCACTGACAAACCGTTTTTCGGCCAATCCGTTTCCGGCTGGCACGACACCTGTTTGTGGGCAGAGATCTACGAACAGATCAACAAGTGATACGGCAGTTACGGGACAACACGTTTCGTTATGTATGATAATACATTGTGCAATATTGTTTTTATCCACCTCAGGCAGACTAGTAATATTCGGTAACTATAATATACAGGGTGAGCCACACGGTATCTCACAGGTTTTAATTATGGTATAGTAGGTATATATTTGATTAACTTTTTAGATTAAGAATAATTTACTACCAATGTCGTCTGGTCGATAACCAGTTTTAAACAATAACTTTTAAAGTCATAAGAGTTTACAAGTTAGGAAGGGAGGGGAAGTGCGCGCACATAAATATAATTATAGATTAAATTTATTACAGATAAACAATGCATAATATGGAACGACTGGAAGCTCTTTTTCTAGTTCATTTTTCTGTCAATGAGGTTCAAAATGGATTTCAAACATATGCGTGCCGGTGCTCGCATATGTGTTCTTCTGTCTTTAGATATGCCACACGTTTCCCCCACCTTTTCCACCATTAAGCACTCCCAGTGATCCAAATTCAGACTAAAATATTTGTGTTTTATGCGTTGCCAATCATAACACGGGCATTGTTTATCCATAGTATATTTAATCTATGGTATAATACTATACTCCACTTTTCCTCCTGTCCTAAACACTTTAATAACTTCAAAAATAGTTATCTAAAACTGGTTATCGACCGGTCAAAATGTGTGGTACATTATTGTCAATTTAAAAAGTTAATGAAATGTGTGCGTCACCATTTAAGTTTCAAAATTTGATATAAAAATAAATAGTTTTGGAGGGGGTAGGAACATAATAATTTCTGGAAAATTTAGATCACATTACACAAAAACACTGTGGAAAAAAAAATTCTATTACTAATTGAACCCATTGAGATACTGACTTGCTCAAGATAAAAAAAAACACACTGTAGATATAGATATAGATTCGGGGGTTTTCAGTATATATATTTTTGCTGAAAAAAATTGACTACTTCCGTAATATTGTTGTTCCCTGCGACCAATCAAAATAGTATTTTTGGACATAGAAATTTGACTGCATTGGTAGAGGGATTCTGAGGCAGATAATATTGTGTTGAGTAGAATATAACGTGGTTTGATGAGGTGAACAATGAAAGCTTGGGCGTTGTGTAGCAGAAAGGTGTCATGTAGAGTGAAAGAAAAATATTCGATTTGATACTTACTTCTCATTCATTCAAATTATTGTCTTTAATATATTCTTGAACTGTCGTTTATGTTTTAATAAAACGATTCAACTGATTACAGGATCACTTAATTGCACGCAACCATTCTTTGTAATACACAATGAGAAACAAGACGAGTGGACCGAATTTCTAGTTAAAGCTGGCCATGGACATATTTCGAAAGGTACTGATAATAATTGAATAACAATTTTAAACTTAATGTCGCTACCAACAACATGTATATACATAAATTTGTAAATAATTTCTCGGTATAATTAATAAACTAATATTAATTGTGATGAAAATGAATCACGAATTAATTTCATTTTGGTGAGAGACATTTGTGCTAGTAAAAAAATTCTGCCAACCGTTTATGGAAAATATGACAAATAATGACAAAATAATAAAATTAAAGTCAAGTTTGACTCATCAAAGGTTCGCTTTGAGATAAATCCCATTGACAATTATTTAAATCCTACTTCGTAGAGTTAACCTCATTAGATTAACAAGAATACAGGTGTTGTAGGTCTGCTAATTTGCTAATCGTTGAGTGGAAAAGTTAAAATACATCCTCCGAGCAGCGTGGACGTTTATTAAAATTGTAACAACAATTTAGGATCCAATGAGTTTCGCCCCTTTGTCTTCCAACTGCAGCGCCAAAGGTTGGCTGTGAAACCAGGCTTGTTCCAAAACGGCTTCCGGATCACTTTCCAGTGCTGGATGGCCAGTGTTGGGCAGAGCGACGTTATATCCGGGGAACCAAGTGGGAGGCACGGACCCTCTTAACACGGCGGCCGACTGTATGGGACTCCTAGTTTCCAGTTTCAAGTTGCGGGTCTCCTCTTCCGCGTCGGCGGCCGAATCGGTTTTTTTCTCGTCCTGTGCACTTCCTCCTATCAACACTTGGATATCGTCTACTTTTTCAATTTCCGACGCCTCCGCCACGGCTATATTGAGCTTGGGTATGATTCTGCTGAACCGTGCACCCTTTTCGTAATCCGGATCCTTTGCGTCCACAACCGCCGGAGCCGACAGTGGCACTACGAGATCCTGCGACGAAATATTCGATTGAGTGGGAATTGGGTTGGATCGGGTTAAGTTTGGCAATGATGTTTGTATTGCAGATTACATAAGCTTCAGTCCTTAACTGATAAATGACAATAATAATAAACCCAAATCATGGCAAATGAATATTGAATCTTGGTGATAAACTGAAAAGTTTGAAACAAATAAAACCACTAAAAGATTTCCTGGACGAACAAATGGGGGGAATATGTTATCAACAAGACAGTGGCGTCCTCCACAAATTGATCAGCTTATTGGCCAAAGGTATCCGACTTTTGAATTACTTATCTACTTGCACGATTTATCTCAATTCAATAGTCAGCCTGGGTTAACTATTGTAATGCGTGTCTTTATGGTATTCTTCCAACAAGTCTAATCGCTCTCTTGATTGTTATGCGCTATCCTCTCCAATTTCCCATTCAGAGCTACCTCCTACCTACTCGATTCTCGTGTTGGCTAGGATCATTGCTGACTAAATCAGCAATTCGATCTCAACATTCGCATCTCAGCAGTCACTTCCATACCCAGTTGCTAGCCTCATTACAGCACCTTCTGCCCGCAGAATTCCACCCTTTTTTTTTTTAGCGGCGTCCATGTCGTTTTAGATCAACGAGTGTAACACATACTTCGTTTGAAATGTCTGCGGTTGGACCCAAGGCCACGAGGGGCGCGTCCTCGTTGCCTTTTGAAAACAAATGCTCATACATTTCGATCGGGTCGGTTTTCATGTTGAACCCGTCTTCGATTGTCTTCATTATGAACGCTATGTATTCGGGATCTACACTGTGTTCCTTCGAAACACAGAAAGGGATGACGTTAATGACCGCAATGTGTGCGTGTGATTGGATTGTCTTTTTGTCAGGACACTCACGGTTTCGACACGGTTGATTTTCGCTTGAGCGTCGTACATGCTGAGTATTTTCTTTTTCGGCCTGTTCTCGTCCAATATGGTGATGCCGCTCAACAGTTCCGACAGCTCGACGTCTTTGTTTTCGGCCTCGACCAAGTCCCGGACCGTCTTCAGGGTGACTTTGCATTCCTCGGCGGGACACGGGCAAGGGCAACAGGGTTGCGTGGAACATCCCGTTTTCGGCGGAGGGCCATCGGGTTTGGATTGGGCGTTTGCACTTTTATTCGCCGACTTGTTACAACCGCAGCCTTCCAACTTCTTGCCCTGCAACGATGTAAACGCGAGAAATCATGAAAACCCGTTGCACAGAGCATGGTGCTCATAATATCACACAATACGTACGGATTCCATTTAAAATTGTCTTTTTATACCGAAATTCAAAATTAAATAATTAAACTCCAATAGTGTACTCGATAGCTTGTCGGTTTTTTAAATGTGTTGATTTAATCTCTGTCGAAAACAACGTCGTTCAATGTAGAAAAATACCAAGGTAACAACAGCTGTAGTTGTTTGCAAGTAAAACGTTTTTGAACTAATATAATAATACACACTACTGAACTGGGTTTTCCTCGGCCGAACAAGTCAAATTACCGCCCCAAGAACCAAAACGCGTTTAAATTTTCCATAAATCTATTGATACTCGTTTTACATGCTTTGAAAAAATGTATATTTGTGTTCTCCAGCACTTGGAAAATAGGTTGTAAAAAAAATTATTTTAGCATTACTTCGGTTGAAAGTCAAAAGCTAAATTTTATCCTAATAATAATTGTTGTATTTATTTGCTTCATTTATCAGTGCAGTTGGGCAGTAACTTAGGTTACAAGTTATTGTAACGAAATTACTTGTTAAGTTATTTTATGATAGTTTTACATTTTATGGAAAGTAATTCACACGTGATTTGAATTAATTAAATCAGTACAACATTTTTTTAAATTATATTTTATCGCCCGTTGTTGATTTTCACTAATTTTTATAAGGTTTGCTGTGAGTGTCAAATTAAAGTAAACCATTTAATGGTAATTTTACATTTTTTTCCCCTTAAATATTTTTGTCGGTTTTTTTTACAAAATTTAACATTTTTGTATCGACCAATAAAAATGATCAGTAAATATTTCACAATTTACAAAGTTAACGACATACCTCTATACTTTACCTTATTTTCAATTCTCTGTGTCACTCGTTTTGTTGACATGAACTCAAAAAAATCACCATTATTAAATTAACACATTAATTAATGACTAAAAAATTAGTTATATTTTCCATCTACAGTTTTTTTTAAATCATATATAATATTTCCTGAAGACATCTGACCTCTCAAAGTCCCTAATGCACCCGATGTTACTGTACTGGCTTTTTAAAATCCTTTTCTAGTCTCAAAAGTTATACATTTCTTAATACTAATGTTAATGGATACGACGTTTACACATTTTCATAAACCAAAATGTTCATATTTTATAATAAACACATATTATTTTATGATAGCCGACTTCTTAAACGACCGATTGGTTAAGATGGCCGAATTCTCAAAAGAACATCGCTTCCAAGTCCAAGTCCAAGTTTGTCGTTTTTCACAAATGAAGTATTGTTTTGAAGTGAACTCTAAAGTAAGTTGCCGCGACGAAAAGTGAAGCGGTGGGGGACGGCGCATATCATATTTTGTGATAAGCCGGTCGGCTTATCGGCAATTTCTTAACAGCTATCTAGGGATTCCCCAATCCAATCCACAAAATGCCATATGCACAAATAATGATAATTGTATTATGCTAACTAGATGTATGTAGGTATAAATGTTTTCAGTTTAATCGCAACATTCGATTGTCGAACACGAGGAAACGATAAAAACAAAAAATTGTATGTGTTCCGTTTTGGAATTAGAAACTTGTGGCCGGCCTGTGGCTGTCGGTCACTTGCGCACACGCGGTTTGGACAGCGCTTTAATGCGTTTGGTAATTCTATACTTCAGGGCCAACGGCGACACTTTGAACGCGTTCTCGTTGTGCTCGGTGTCGACCTTTCTGGACCTTATCTTGGGCTCGGCAAGCTGCTGGGTGCGTTTGCTGGGCACCGCCCTCAAAGCGCCCCGGGGAATCACGGCCGGGTCGTATTCCAAGTTCAGCCTGGTCTCGGACGCCAGTTTTCTCGGTTTCGACAGCCTCTGGATCCACTCGAACGGCAGCGGTACGATTTGGCCGGGGGGCCTGGGCTCGTACGCGCGGACGGGCTTCTTCTTGGCCACCTTCTTGTGGCTGGGCTTGTAAGTGAGGCGGTTCAACATTTCCATGTACTGGCTGGGCTGCATTTGTATGGCCGCCCTCTTGGGGGCGGGCCGCTTGAACTTCCTCCTGGGCATCGCGTTCTTGCGCAGCCACTTGATGTGCTCGTTCCAGTCGTCCATGTTCCTGATGGCGTACCGCTTGGGCCTGTAGTATTTCTGCGTCGGGTATTCCGTCCGCAGGCAGCCGACGTGCACGTACCTGACCTTGGGCTTGGGCTTGGACAGGTTGGCCGTCCTCGGGAAGTACTTGCCGTCCGCCAACGGCTGTTTGCCCGACCAACCGCCGCCGTGCCGTCTCTTCGGCCTGCCGCTCCTGAACGGCTGGAATTTCGGGTTTTTCCGTTTCGGCTTGGCCAGTTCGATCAGCCTCCGGGTGGGCGAAGCGGCCAACGCCGCCCGCGACACCGGTATCGGCAGTGTGGTCTGGAACTGCGGATTCGGCCACGGCTGAAGGCGTACCGGTTTGGGCGCCGCCAATTCGGCCAAGTACGCGGCCTTGGACACTTTCAGCCATCGCTTGTAGAAACACTTGGACGTCTCGAACTTGGCCCGTTGCCTGGCGTACGGTTCGGTCGTCTTGGGGTCCAACTGGTAGTTACGGTATTTGTCGACGAACTCTTTGAGCTCTTTCACCTTGCTCGGCGACAACGTTATCGACATGGTAGAAATGACTATTTAGAGAAAAAAAAACTTATTTATTTATAATACAAGGCTAAAATTAAAAATTTTCAGAAGGCCCAAAATTGAAATGTGTTTGTTTTACGACCGAAAGTTTTATATTTTAGCCAAGATTTAAAATAAATTAATTTAATTTTAAAATAATATTCAAATTTACTGACGTCTAACGATTTTACTCATTAGAAAATTTTTGTTTTTTCAATAAATAATACAAATATTATGCTGTCGAGCGACAGCTCTCAAAGTTGTAAAATACTCAAATAAATATCTTTGAACATCATTTTTTTTTACAATTTTCTATGCTTTATTCGCAATTTTATTTTATTAAATACAAATACAAACATTATCAAACGCTAAAATCATAAGTATTGGACACTCTATTATCGTTTTAAATGAATCGGTCATTTGTGAAAGTCCATAAGTCACTATTTCAGCTAAAAGCGTTTAAAAGAAAGAAGAAATACCTCTTGTCACGAGGTTTACTGACTTTCTAAATAGGGATTTGGATTTTCCGTTTAACATTAGTCCCGTCTTATGACGTTTCAAATAGAATACAGTTCCTTAAAGAAACACTCAAGTCCGGTCAATTTGATTTCAAAGTTTTGCTAATGAAATAAATATTTAAAAAAATTGTCTAATAAATTATTATGTGTTTTCAAACGATTTCTCCCTGCCTGTGTTGGCGGATAAAGTTTTTCTCTTATTCTGTAAAAATTTAAATTTCAGGCGTTTCTCAAATGACCGATTCAGATGTTTACTAGCAACGTAAACATCTCTTATATATTATATAGTATACACACTTAATATCTATACAATCGTTATATAACTTACTTAACTAAATATTACGTTAAGAGTGTAAATATTTTATGCAGTGACAGAATTAGAGAAGGGGCTGACTAGTGTCCCAATTGTTTTTTTTTTCAGGAATAGGTACGTTCATTCTATCAATACAGTGCAATTAACACAAATACAGTTAAAAAAAAATAAGAAAACGAATAGTTTTTAAAGTATATGTTTGAAAATTTATGAATTAACTGATTTATCTTTTTTTATTATTATATTTAAATATAAATTAAAAAAGACAATTTAATGTCAGTGTGTTTAAAAAATAAATATGGAATATTACATTTCTTGAAATCATTTTTAAACGATTCCGAATAATTTTGAAAATTATTTCAATAAATGTGAATTCGAATAAAACACTCAAAACATGTAAAATGTATACTAAAAGCTAGCTTATAATATGGACACGCAAAATGAAAGAAAAAAATTATAAAAATGCAATACTATTCCTGGTTTACAATGACTATTATGACCGACCGACGACTAGTGGGGCGGACGGCGAAAACGAAATACGAATACAGTGTTTTCGGAACGTTAATAATAAATAATGTAAATACAATTATTTAAATAATATACATTTATGTTCTTGAGAAAAAAAAACAGCAATTGAACATAATATTATTTCTTAAATATAGAAATATTAAGAGGACAAAACCAATACACACACACACACACACACACAACTGATACGGTTAGATTAATACTCGTACATAGCGTACGTTCAATATGACAATATCTCTCTGAGCGGGTCGTTTGTTATTTCAGATGAAAATATTTATTACGGGCCTAGTATGATAATCAAACTATGTAAGTTGCTATCGGTACTGTGTTTGCTAGTTGCTGATACAGCGGTTTTCTTAAGACCTTCGTAGAAATTTCTCCTGAGTTTCGAAAACCGAAAATACGTCTCTTCGATTTCGTCGTAGTCCGTGTGAACCCATTGGAAGTCACTACAATGAAAGTAGCCGGCATGGAGCAGCTCATAAAAGTTCAGTATTTCCGTGTAGATTTTGTTCAGATGGGTCAATTTGTCTTTGAGCCCCACGACCATGAAACATCTACAAACAAACGTTGTAAATTAAAACACGATCATTTGAGTATTAAGATATTATTTGCAAGACTGAAAAAAAAAAGTTTTTTAAAAGTTTAGAAAACCATTTATCGCAATGTTAAACCTTAGATCATTCGATATTTCTATATTATGTGTATATAGATAAATATAAATTATATTGACGTGATGAGCAAAACTTTTTTTTTAATTTAATAGAGTATGTTAAAGTTGTAGTTATTTAATTTTCGATGTAAGATTGTTGGCCAGTCTAACTCAGAATTAAATAATTACCGTACCTGCGTAAAAGTTCGTGCATATACTCTTTATAGGCGGAATATAAATCGAACACATCTTCCACTTGTTCCACCCTTTTGTCAAACTTAGTCCAGCATTCTGATATCACAACTTGTTTGAAGTACTGATGCATTGATGTCGTAAATTGGACCATGGAATGTTTGAAAAGGTTTATCTGCAAGTAGACCATTAAATAAGAAACACTATTCGTTATAATATCATGTTTTTAGCTAATATGGGGATTGTGAAATAATGATAATATTATAATATAGTCCTTGTTCAGTACAGATATATTAGTTGGGCTATAATAAATAAAATAATGATTTTGTTTTTTTTTTCCAAATAAGAAATATCAAATATACATTGTTTTACTTATTTTAACTACAAAAAAAAACCGAATGCTTAATTGCCGTTTATCGGATAACTTCATAAAAGATGAGAAATGCAAAATAAATTTAGTTTGTAATAATTTATTTACTTTCTGAAAAATATGCCATAAACTTTTTAAATTTCACAGAATCATCTTAAGCAACAGAAATAATTGGCACTCTTGTCAGTACTATAATTTACCTGTCTGAACTGCAGTCCGACGTCGTTTTTGTGCACGCTAAGTATTTCTCTGACTTTCGACAAACACCAAGTAACATACTCCAACTTGTTTAAAAACAAAAATAGCATTTTGTACTTTACTATCATTTTCTCCGTGAGTATAATGCTTTTCGGCCATTTCGGCTCGTACTCGAGTTCGATACATTCCACGTCCTGGATGAAAACAAAGTACGTCAACGATTAACAATAGCACGATTGACGTATCAAATGTGTAAACAATTATTGGTTACCTTTATGTTAGTAGGATCATCTAAAACAGCATCGTCAGGCATCTTTAATGAAAAACCGTGTTCTGCTTTCAACGGGAAGCTACACTGAATGGCGTCATCGACGATTGTGCGAAGTCGGTTCTGATTGAATAGACGGCGCGGGTTTTGCCGGTTAATCGCCATACTTTCGTACAAGGTCTCGCATAGTTTTGATGTAAACCGACTGTTGACCAAGAAGAAACACTGCGACAGATATTGTAGCTCGTCCAGTAGGGTCTCTTGCTTGAACAGCCTATCCAGAATTTGTCGGTTGCAGTTTATTTTGCACATGCGAGACGGTATAAGTATGGTGTACGGCAAATTTTTCAGTAAGCTAGGAATGTCGATTGGCTTTCCGTGGTATGTTAAAACTTTGTCGCTTTCCATGAAAAACCCATACGGATTATGCAAATCGTATTCGTTTCTTTCAACGTTCTTCCAATCAGGTACACGGAACAAGTTGGGAGCTCCTGTTTAAACATTGTAATGATAATAATTCCTTAATTATTTTAATAATTCAATTTAAACGAGAAAGTTAACAGCAAACATTGTTAAACTTTTTACTTAAAAGCAATATTTTTTTCTTAGTGTTACTTTTTGATGATAACAAAACTACGTCATTTAACGAGGAAAATATTTGAAACCAACATACCGACTAAACGTAAAAATATAAAGCCAAGGACTATTATTTTTCACTCTAAAATCAGTTATTTTTTATTATTTTAATAATAATATAAGTGTAATAATAAAATAATAGTAAATAAGAGTTAAAAAAATGTTTTTTTTTTTTGTTTTTTCTATACTTTTGTTAAATTGTAATGCAACAGAAATTTAAAAGCTAAAATTTTATTTTGAATTATATTATAATTTTATGTTATCTATTTAAATTGATTACCTATATTCTGTATAAGTATAAATGTTTTTTTTTAAGTTACAGACCTTTAAAATAGAATTCTAAACCACTTAAATTTTAATGGATGTTTGCAATATTTTTAAACAGCATCACTACAATATTAAATTAGTATTTGATAAGACGCACTACGTATAGATTTTTTACGACGAGGTACTGAACTGCATTTGAATAATTCTAGTGAACTCATATAACTTCTTTTGGCATCCTCATAATCGAAACAACACGTCAATGTTGGTGTTGAAAAAATCTCCTAAAACGCAAAATAAATAATTTTATAGTAAACAGTTTCTTTTAACACCACAATAACGCCGTGCTCACTATATCGTTTAGTTTGCTAAGCACATAAGCGCTTCGGCCACTAGTCAAAATGTATTCTTTGAATATTTTCATAAAATCAGGTACTTCAATGTTTTCATCGATAAAAACATTATCAGAATCTAATTGAGATTGGTGTGCAGTGTTATCGTCCGAATACAACTTAATAAACATACAATGTTGATCGCTTATAACGCCTCTCAATGTCCAATCGGATAACATTCTATAACGGAATATTTTTAAAATTAAATTTGACTGTCTTCAATGAAATAAGAAACAAAAATATACCTGAAGTATATCATACAGCAATAATCCAAAATATATATTAGCATTCGTACGAATACACTGTGGCTCAACTGACAGTTGGATAAGTAATTGTACACTTTGTTAATAAGTTTAACGGCAGATGGTTTTTGCGGAGAAATAGTAATGCGATCCTTTATATTCAAATCACATATTTCCGCTAACGTACGTAATCCGATTACGATCCGAGACAACCTGCCAAGTAGTGCCAACAGAGATTCATCCTTAACCGCAAACACAGTTCTCTCGTAATCCGCAAGCACTCGTGACAAGGCAAACATAAAGGCCTGGTAAAAAAAATTACCACAATTATAAAAAAAAATAATGCACTTTCAAGTCATGAACATTTTGTTTCACCTTGAGAAGACTATCGTCTGTGTCTTCTTCCCATTCTTCCTTAAAAGCAGATAATATTTTAAATAAATTGGCACATTCCAAAATAATCGGCGATACATTTTCAAGCATGTCTGGCGACAGACCAAATATGCTGTATTTTCCGTTGAATTTAAATTTCTTTGTTACCTGAAATATATGTTTTAATACTAACGTTAATTGATGTTATACATATACCTAAGTTTACTAAATTCAGTCATTGCTCAAAGTAATCAACTGAATTTAGCCAAACTGACAATCAATTATTTTATTTTAACTAATTCTTTAAATATTTATTAATGTTTTATATAGATATTACATATTTGTTTTTTAATCATATAGTCAACAAATTATATTTACAAATTAAAAAAATCATTTACGCTTAATTGACAGTGAAAATGCTGTTAATATTTTTTATTTTCTTCAATATGTAAATACGTAGTCCTGTAGGAAATTAGTAAATTGTGCCTAACGTTTAATTTAAGAGAGGTGGAAAAATAAATTTGAATCACTTGACATTGAAGAAAACTCAACAGACTACTGTTTGATATTAACTTTAATGAATAGAACATTAAGATAATTTTTCTTCATGCTAAGTTTTTTTTTTTTTATGTCAAACTAAAATGTTCCGAATATTTTGAAAAATGCCAGTTATACATTAAACAGTCTATTAACCATTGATTTGTGTGTTTTAATTGTTTTATGAGAACTGTGAGTACTATAAAACAAACATTACCGGGTCCTCAAAATAATATTCTGTTCCTCGATTGGTAAGCATTCGTCTAATATCGTTTAACATCACACTGGTATTGATTTCTGTAACTGGAAACGGCTTGTTGGGATTACCTCGAATTGTCTTCGCTGTCATAACGCACCACATAGCTTTGATCGTGCTCATGTCGTTCTCTATTACATTTTTCTGAAAAAAATTATATTTGTATAAATCAAATGACGGGAAAAATGTAGGTATAAGGTATAATGTTTTGTTTTAAAATATATAAACACCTTAGACAATGATTTATCTTGCGTTGAGTCGTTTTGTGAAGAATTGACGTTGCTACTATAAAAAACAAAATACACATTAAATCCTAATGAACTTTAGTACAGAGAATTGTAATAATGGTATTCACAAGATGCAATACATTTCTTTCATTGTTCTTATCATGCATAAAATGTACTAAAAAAAAACACATGCTAAACAATAAAATCAAATAAACAATGACTCTAACAAAAAAATTCAAGTCCTAAATGTGGCTAAAAATGTACTTAATTTACCAGTAAAACTACTCATAAAAACACAAAATACAAAACAAATTTAACTTGATTAATTTAAGTATTGTAGGCAATCATTAATTGATTTTTTTTAAAAACTCATAAGCCAAACTAAATGAATTTTTTTGGAGACCAAATAATTTCTTTCGGTCACTATTTATAAACTGTCATGTAAATGTTTGGCAAAATTTGGCTGTTATGCGGTACAAAAATCAAAATAACTATTCTTACATTCAATTGAAAAAATATCTAAATATTTTACTAAAACAGAATGTCAGGTAGTGTTGTAGAAGTACTAAATAAATTATGATAGATAAAGGTGTCGTTGCTGATCCATATTAAGTATAGTCAGTTAAGTATAGTTTGCATTACACGCTAGACTAAATTTTAATATCACAAACTTTAAGCGCAATGAAATTTTAAAAGTTTCACCTAGGCCGATTAAAATAATCGCTGGAATTCCATGATTCAGATTTTGACTTGTGTAAAGCAAACAAGTCCTCATAGCTGTTAGGAATTTTATTAGTAATTATATTATAATATATTGTTTACAAAGTAATTAGTAATTTATACTATATATATATATAGTAATATATATAAAAACAGAACTAAATATTACTTACAAGCGTTTTGTAGTTTTCTCGTTGGTCAACAAACTTTCGTAGCTAATGGTTTTTTGCATTTTAAAAAGATTATGAATATTTCTGGAAAAAAAATGAATAAACTGTATTGAACGAAGCTAAATCAATCAGCAACGGCTAACATACTTGTCGCGTTCCATTGCCGACGACGGATAAATGCCGAACGAATTACTCTTGGACAACGAAAACACGTTTGGAATGTACCTGTAAAAAATAATTACATACAAAGAACATTAGCCGTTGTCCGTCGGGTAACAACGTAGGTACGACCGTACTTTTCGTGTTGTCTTATATCGATGCGATCGTTATCGGGATCTGAAACTCTGCAGTGCACGTTCATGTATTCTCTGTACAAAAGAAAAAAAAACAAAAACGTTTAATTAAATCTAGAACGTATTATCCGAGATTTTACAAAACGAAGGTTTGTAGAAAGATTAATTTTTGTTTTACAGACCACAACAATGGCGGTACGGAGAACGACGACCTCTGCGTCATTTGTTTCCCCTGCAAATCACAGCATTTCGGGGGGTGTGGTTTCGGGGGTGGAATAATCTCCTGTGCAAACGCTTGGGGTGCGTTATTGCGCGTCGCCCGGGCAGTGTTACCCGGCCAAGTTGGTTCCTACTGCGCGAACTGGTGCTTAAGCGTGCAAAACTGGCGCACGAGGGTCGCACAAAATCAATATTATTTCCTGGCCGAAAAGCGGCAATGCGAAACAACGTAGTACAAGCGGCAATAACGAAACAAAAGTAAAATATCCGATGGCCGTTTTGAACAAAAAAAAAAAGATATAAAACAAACCCAATAGCCTAATATACAATAAAACCATACCTGTTGTAGTATAATAGAACCTAACGATAAAACAGATTACCGCATCGAATTTTCGCTTTTTTTTATACTTTTAAATAGGAAATATATTTGGAATTGTTTGAAATAATGTACATAGATTATTTTTGTTTCAGTATAAAACCGCGTAATGCGTATGGTCCAAATGTATGGTTTTTTTTAGATAGGACTCATTTGAACATCTCCTTATTTTGATATGACATATTAAGGGTCGCCTACAACTGTTAAGTGTTGAGTTGCCCCAATACTTGTCCCAACAGCTACTGTTTGTTTGTTGACTTAGTATTATAAATCAACGTTAAATTTAGTAAATATATTTAAAAATAAAATGCTGAAAATACGAGTATAGATTCTAACGAGAAATAGTGATTGTGAATTTAAAACAAAAATGGTTTTAATAAGAGGAACGTAATATTACCTAATTCAAAAGATATAAAATGAAAATAATTGAGAATGCGATTACTTTATAGACCATTGTGGCACGGGGAGGTGACTAGTCTTTATGTATTACCATAACTGAAAGATGATGATAATATAGTAACATATTGTCTTGAGGATCATAATAATTTCATGACATTTAATTTAAACAATGTTATTAATATGAAACAGAAATTTAAAAATAAAAAAATTAACCTTTTCCAATTTTCTATATAAATTTATTTTTTTATTCTAAACAACGGTAGTAGGTTTTGTCATCAATTTTCCAATATTGTTCTTAATTAGAATTAGTAGGTCAACTAGCTAGTCTGAATGTTCTACGGTCAATTCATAGTATCAAATTTATCGTGCCAAATTTACAAATAAATTTATGGGTTACACTAATACCCTAAAGGTATTAATTTAGAAGCTGCCGTTTGAGTTCTATTGGTGTCAACAAATGTTTAGTAGTTGTATCTTGATACATACATTTTTGAAGAGAATAATAAAAAAACAACAATTGTTGACAATCAAGCTTTAAACTCTGAATTTTTTATTTTTTTTAATCCTTGTTTTCAAGAAAAAGAATACATTTCTAAAACGGTGGATGTCAAGCATTTTAAGTAAATGAAGCTTCCAGGTAGTTATTATTTTTTTATCGTTTAAGGTTAAATTATTATTTGGAAAAAAATTGATAACGATAATACTAATGCTATTTCTAAACACACTGTGTTGGACTTTTGCACTTTTGGCTAAATCCTAATATATATTGCATACAAATGATTAATACGATAAGTTTTATCACGATAAACGGTTAACTAAAAAATAATCTAACGATAATGTGTCTGATGTATCTAAAGTGTCTGTCAATAAATTTGATCCAACAAATTGACAGGACACTAGTCTGGATAGAGAATTTTTCAGATGGCTTGGATGTTTGGGCTTAAAACCCAATCTGTATTAAAATAAATGGCTATGGTGTACATTTATTTAAATGAAAAAATGTTGTAAGCATTTCTCATCATTAAAATCAGAGTTTTCATACATTGCTTTACGTTATACTTTAAAAAAAACTCATTAAAAATAGCCAAAACTTGTGTACAAAATTTAATTTTGTTTCATAAGGGGATGTCAATATTATAATAATAATATGTTGTACATCATATTTTGTTAATTAATCAACTCTGATAACAATACATACAATTATATACAAATAATTCTTTTTAGCACAATTAAGTTTAATTTAAACTCTTAAAATAATTAATCAAATGGGTGGCAAAAATGTGTATAAATCAAAACTACCTATGACCTACCTAAAACTACTTATGATGTAGGGTAAAGTTACAGTATGTTTGTTAATCCTGATGAAACCTCTTGACAATGTTGTTGTACTAATAAAGGAGAAAGTATTTAATGCCTTACTATATTGATATGCTCAAATAACCTAGCTAAACTTAGATACATAATACAGTTATGATTTCTGGTTTTTGTTCGGTTACTAATTAAAAATAAACATAAATTTGTAAAAAAAACAATACATGTCACATTAGCGTAGTAAATATTGCGCTTATTTCTGTTTGCGAAATTGAGTTTTATGAAGAAATAATTCAAGATATTTTTTAATAATTATTATAAGTTTTATGTTCATATTATAAAGAAAAAAGGGATAAGACTTAAAAATGTCAAAATAACGCCCAAAAGAATTTCTATCACAACACGGTGCGAAACAATTGCACGTATCATTCGCAGTTTGTTATTGTATCAAATTACTCACACAAACGCCGCATATTTAGGATTTGGTGTTGTAGCACAACTCGGAGTGTTTTGAACTTGAAATACATTTGGAATTTTGCTATTGTAAAAACAAAAAATAATATTAATATTTTTAAATAATATATATGCGTATAGCAATTCATACTTGTCTCTTTCCACAACTGACAGTGGATAAATACCGAAAGATTTGCTTTTCGGTATGGTGAACACGTTTGGAATAGACCTGTAAAAAAAAAAATGTATAACAAATTATTAGCTGTAGAATAATTATATGATAAATGAAAATTTAACTATTACTTTTCAAATTCTCTGACATCTTTACGATTGTTATTGGACGTGGACAACTTGTCATTTACATTTTCCAACGACAAATATAAATCTGAATATTTGGTTGCACACTTGGGCACAGAGAACACATTTGGTATATTCCTATGAAAAAAAATTGTATATTATTAAATAAATAATAATAATAATAATCCAAAAAAAAAAAATTACTTCTCATGTTCTCTTATATCTTTACGGTGGTCATCGAAATCGGAACATTTGTCTAAGACATGTATGAATTCCCTGTAAAACATTTTCCATAATTAATATTGTTATTATTTAAAATATTATGTTCAACAAATTAATAGAGATGGTTACTTTTGGGCCATGCTTGACTGTTTCTGCAGAACTATTTGAAAAAGAATTTATTTTCCTAAAACAATACAATAAGTTCATACATTAATTTATTTTTACGTTATATAAGTAAATAGTAAGTATTCTAAACATGTAGTTTTAATAATATTATGTTAAAGCTTAAACAAGATTTTACAACAAGATCAGTGAAATTGAATGTAATTTATACTTTTGACCAAATTATTATTTATTTTAAAGTTTTACTTTTAATCTGTCGCGTAGGTTTTTGTTAGTTTTCAATTTAAACAAGTTTATGTTTATTCATACATCAATTTAGAAAAAATAGTTTAAACAACAATATAGTGTGGGGTGAACAGCTTCGATCTACATTGCAACGGTTAACAAAGGCATACTGATACGATAAAACAGTTTTACAATTACCGATTATGTAAGATAAACTTCTATTCAATATCTATACAAAACATTAGATAAGATTTTTTTCATTTAACATTATTATGTACATTTATATTTGCGACGACAAATTATTTACTCCGACCGTGGGTTAAACATATTTTTTAAAAAAATTGTCCAGCTTGCTATACACAATCAGCTTTTACGGTAGAACATAAAAGAGTATCGGATGCTCAATCGATGGGTAATGTCTGTTTGCGTACAAATCCACTTAGATATTTGCCGCAATACTTTTGGGCAAGTAAGTTTTACACAACATAATGAGTTATTTAAAAAAAAATGAATAGTCTTGTTGTCACTAATAAACATTGTACACAGTCTAAAGATAAACAATTTTATGAAAACAATTATTTATTATTATTCCCTGCTCAATTATGTCTGACGATTCTCTGTCAATTGTATGATAAGGGTATATTATAATTTAACGTAGCATTCTTACTTGAGTAGATCAATTGTTTTTAAACAGCTCCCAGCCGAGCCAAGCCCAGAGTTGAAAAAAATAATATACCGGTACAATTAAAATACACAATATTATGTAGTACTCGGTATCAGAATATTCCATAAGTTGGTTTGAAAATTCCATTGCATTGTTTGATAATGTAAGCCGGCACGAAAGATAAAAGACATTAGTAATTTTACGTATAATATGACTAGAATTATTTTTAATGAATACAATACAGGATTATAATGTTCAAAACATCTAAGTCAACATTTATATAATATAATATAATCGTGTTGGACGAACATTTTAAAGTGTAAATATACAGTAATCAAATGTTTATCATTATCGGTGGAGGTATTCTGTCAAAAAATCTGATAACAAAATTGTTGTGATAAGAGATTGACAATTGAACGCAACGTTTGCGCGCCAAAATTTGATTGTGCAAAATAAAGTTAACAGTTTGATTACAACAGCTGTAAGTAGTTGTTACCAAGAAATAAGTACACTAGAATTATTATTTTAAACTAGATAGTTTTTACAAACTATTTCGGATGATATAGTAATAGGTAATAAGGCGTGTAAATGTGAACATTTACACGAAGTGTTTTAAAATTTCTATGCCCCAGTGGAGCCGATCAGTATTTATTACATTTAAGATAGCCATTTTATTAAGAATAATTTGCTAAATACGTTGACTGGTCGACAACCAGTTTTGGATAAATACTTTTAAAAATGTTTTATTTTAAAGTTTAGGATGGGAGGTGGAGTGCAGTAGAGTAATGCGCGCAGATAAAAATAACTCTACGCGCTTACTCTACCGCACTCGACCTCTCATCCTACCCTTTAACCTTAAGTAACTTGAAAAGTAATTTTCCAAATCTGGTTATCGACCAGACATCATTTTCAGCAAATTTTTCTTAATATAATGGCTATCTTAAATTTAATAAAATTAACGTAACAAAAAAAAATTTTAATAATTTAAAAAATGAAAATAGTTAAGTGTAATAAAAAACGTGATGCTTATTGCGCAAAAGAGTATAAATTAATTTAAAAAAAAATCTTAATAACATTATTTCATCAATAATAACAACTAAATATTTCAGATGGTGATAACAGTGGCGTCGAGTCGGTCGGCTGGAGGTAGAACGCTGTGTAGGGAAATATTGAAACGCTAGTAAGTACACAGCAAAAAGTGTAGCAAAATTAAATTAAATTTTCCATGTTAACCCAAGCTGAGACCGTATTTTATATAAAAAAAAAAATATTTACTTCATTAAGTATTGGTGTCAGTTGTAATAAATTCTTATAATTTTTTTTATTCATAGAAATAGCAGATATGAATTTAAAAAATATTTATTTTGAATTCGCTTCTCTAAATTTTAAAAATGTAAATTGTTTTATTTTACAAGGGGTTTGATGCGAACAACAATTATATAAAATTAGACCCTTATCAAAGTAGAAACAGAAAATTAACAGTCTAAAAAATAATTCAGGCATTAAATCAAAATTTACTTACATAAAATAAATTTATATTATTTCTACGACTACCTTGAACAACCCTCAAAGATGAAAAATTGGTTACCATTTACCTACACTAAATACAATAAATCAATGTTTTAATGTGTCAATATTTTGTCATCAAGAATATTAATGTTATAATCATGTTAAAAGAAATTCCGTATATTTCGAATTTTTTTTTATTTCATTAATTATAATTTATAAATGTGCCTTCTGTCAAGGACATTTTGCAATGCTACTACATTTATACAGTTTTCCAATATCTATTAAGTTAATAATACAATTTTTTTCTTCAACTACCATAATGCGCACAGGCTTTATTTTTGTCCAAAAACTTGAAAAATTCATAACATTTACAAGTTATTGTTCAAATCATAATTCTTAAACTATTTTTGGTTAACTAGTAATTTCTTTATGAAAAATTATAATACTTAAAGTTTTCTTGTGATTTCTGAAATAACATTATACTGCTACAAAACATTTCTTTGTTTTGAGCTGATTTTTTTTTCAAAATGAAATAATCATTGAATTTTATTGATTTCTAAATCTTTACACTTTTTTCAGCTGTTCCGGTTTGGTTTCAACTTAAACATTTGAAGTGCTAAAAAAATATTTTAAATCAGTTATACCCCATCAGTCGCCTTTTGTAAGCAATATACAATATGTACATAAAACCTAATATTTACTGTATCTACTGTATTCTAAAAAACGCCCTTTAAGTTAATTTCTAAAATCTTACTTGTAAATCCCATTTCCGATCGATGACCTTTGTAATCGAGGTTTTATTATTTAAATAAAAAAACCGAACATTAATAATATAAAGTTATTATATTTTAAAAACTGAAGTTGACTTAATAACTTGTTTAATTAAAAAAAAAAATTAAACTATAAGGGCAGTTATTATTCATCTTGTAGAAATCGTACCTTAAACGTAGTTTATTGATCTAAAAATAAATAATACATATCTTTCAACTCTAAGTTACGGCACACAATAACTTTTTTTTAAAAAAAAGGCCAAATTAATTCCCAATTTGTATGGGATGTTTGTCAGTTTAATTACTTTCGATAAACGTCGACAAACTAATAAAATATTATAAACCATATTCCCTAAAAAGAGTAGAAACGTTTTCTTTATTTCTCTTGTTTGAAGAAAGTTTTAGGACCTATAGTTTGAACAATTGAATGAGAGTGGGTGTAGCGTGGGGCTATGCCAATTACATTTGTCTCAAAAATCTGTAATCAAACATATATTAATATATTTATAAAGGAAAACACGAAAAAAAGGGTACTATAATATATTATTGTGATAAATATGACAATGTCTAGTAAATTGACTCTCTCCCATTTATTTTTTAATCATGGGATTCAAGTTTGATAAATGTAATATCAAGAATGAATGTCAGACAATAAGAGTTTCACAATTATTATTATGGAAAACAAACGAAATCAAATGCGTTAGGTCTGTGAGTAGTTTTATTCGAAAAACGCCAATAGATACATTTGAAAAAGTAAGACATACATTTAATTAAGAATTTTGGTTCGTAAAATAATGTTTTATTGTGACCAAAACATATTTTACATACCTTAGGCGGATATAATGTTGTAGGGGTAGTTATACTGTTATAGTGTTACACAAAAACGAATTAATACTAATTTTAACCAGGTCATCACCGAAACAAATCCTCTTAGTTGCCATTCGAATTATTTTTCAAAAAATCCAAACACGCTTCTTGTAAGAAGCTCATCTGCATTAGAGAAGCTCCAGCTAAAATATCCTAAAATAATAATATAAATGAATTAAAATTCTTGAATGACAAAATAAATAATTAACTAAGTAATTTACATTAACATTATCACGAGTTAAGTCTATTTCAGCAGTATACATGTAATTAACGATATGTTCCAGCGATTCAGCACTTATACTTTTTATAAGCACTTTTCCTTTACCAATCGACAAAGAAATTTTTTCAATTAAAGGGCTCGATGAAGACATCACGATCCAATGACCCCATACATGTTCACCGTTTTCGCTGACCAATGCGTAATCCAATAATTGCTTGTCCCTAAAATAATAATAAATCTAAGATTAATATTATTATACATTACAATGTAGAACTTTTAAAAATTCAACAAAGTGTGCGCAATGAAAAAGATAATATAATAATTAACACAATCATACACAAAATAAAATCGTTTGTAAACAAAAGCAGCTAGGTTAGGTAAGTACAGCATAGGTAGTGCATACTTGCGCATTTCGTTCATTCGGCGAAATCTTTCATTAATAACACTTAATTCTTTAACACTTAATACTTCACTAATACTTCTTCGTGCGTTCGTGTTAACATCCATAGCTAAGACGAGTGATTTACAAAAAAAAAAAAATAGAAAACAACAAACTTCAATAGATTATGAAAATATTTTAGTTGAATATTAACTTCTACAAGTACCTATCTTAAAACTCGCTGTTAGCGGCCACCACGATATAACAAATGAGTAAATAACAAACGGAGTATTATATTACTATATTATTATAAGCTACGATAGTAATAACGATTTCAATTTTTTTTAATGGTTTGTGCACGCGAACGTTGTAGTAATATTATTACAGTAAGGACGCCGAACTGCGCTATCATTTATCATACAAAAAAGGATAAAGCCAAACTTTCTTTGTAGCATCCGCCAGTTGCGCTGTCGGCCACTAATCGATAATACGATGGCAATATACTATAATGCAATGGCACAGCAGATCAGCTGAGCATGCCAAGTTCCGTCAATGCCAGTGTATCTGTACACGAACCAATTCATCCGGGTTTCCTAACTCTCATGATATCTCTGTGCTTCTTCTTATGATGGGCTTTTGAAATTTCCAACATAGATTAAGCCTATAGGAGCTTAGGACGCTGTAAAAATGACGAGCCCTTAATATTAAGCCTTTTCAAAAGGGGAGAACTTTGCAAAGTGTGCATTTTTGTAACTGACTCACTCACTGTTCATCAAAAATAAGACACTTTCCGTACAGGTGAAATTTGGCTCAAAGGTAGTCTACCTTAGGTAGGTACTTTCAGTGTAAGTAAAGGAATCTAAGCTGAAATTACAAAACAGTTGGTATAGGTAATACGTTTTTGAGGCTACATTGTAAATCAGCTAAACCACGTAGGCGAATATTTCTTTGTTGTTTCTATCATATGGTTTAAATGTCGCATCATTCGTTTTAAAGAAAAATAGTTTAACAACAGTGAAAATAAAATCAAGAATTCCTAACTTCACTTTGGCTAAGTTCACCAGAGAAATTATTTAAAAGAAATCTAATGCAAATTAGAGGGTACGTTTATCAATCTCTCTCTCTACTATCAGTCCATATCTTTGTAGATAATAGCACATAAAGTCGACTGACTGTTCAACTATAACATGTAATGTTATCAGTGGATTTGACGGAGGCAGTCGGGGAGAATAAGCCGCAAGATATAGGCGGTATTGAAACGGGCTTCATTAAAAATAGTAAGGCGCATAATATTAATTTTATTAATGTAAAAAACAAAAATCTTGTCGAACGTATTATTATTAAAAAATTTCAACAGAATGACATACGAACAAAAATATCTATTGAAATATAATCGTCCACCACCTAATCTTTTATTAATAGAAAATTTCAAAACAGTTGGTTTTGGCAATCAGTATTCGAGGCTACATTGTAAATCGGCGAAACTATAATACAAACTATGTAGGCGATAATTCCTTGTTGTTTCTTTCATATGGTTTAAATCTTGCTTCATTCGTTAAAAAAAAAAAAAAAAAAGAGTTTAACAACAGTGAAAATAAAATCAACAATTCCTAACAAAACTTGGGTAAGTTCACTAGTGAAATTATATGAAAGAAACCTAATGCAAATAATAAAACGTCCAAAATATAAACACTAAGATGGAAATAATTTGAAAAAAATCATTTTTCTACTAATTGCAACCAATCAACTCGCGTGACAACATAATATAGTTTGGTATATGATGTTAGAGGAATTTCAATCAGCAATGATTGAAAAAATTACTAATAGGGTAATTTGAATTTTTTCATCGATAAATTACATTATCGTCTCTCTATATAAATGTATTGCTATAATAACCCATATATCGTTGTTAACAAAATAATGAAATATTTTCATTGCCTATTTACTCACTCACACATAGCAACCTAGAAATGGACAACGGTCAAAGTGTAATTTTCCCCTTTTTTTTGGAGGGGGGTCCCTTAATAAAAAATAAGTTTGATCACAGATTTTTTTGACAAAAATGTATATGTTATAGTTCCATTCTAGATAATATACCTTAGGTCTAATTTCCCCGACCTAAATCCCTAAAACTTTGCTTCGAAAAGTGAAATAAAGAAAAAAATTCTAGCTTTTCTATTAGAAACGGTTTAAATTCCACACAAATTTGGAATTAGTTTGACTTGGTAGTTGTTAAATCTTAAAATTGCGCCAACCAATTTTTTTAAAACTTTCAGCCTTTTTCCCAGGAGGAGGGAGGGTTGTGGAAATTTCGGGGTTTTCCTTGTGAGATTTTGTTGATGAAACTTTTTATATAGAAAATGCTAAGGTTATAAGAAATCGAAAATATTTTCGAAAAACATACACTTGTGCACACATGAGAATGTTTTAGTCATTATTTTTGCCATCGATAAATTTTCATACATTTTAAGCAGAAAAATACGTCGATCGAACGACAAAAATAGTACATAAAATTGTCAATGTTTGAATTTCTCATTTTTTTTTTTGTGCACATCTTAGTGTTACTTTTTACTACGAAAATTCGAAGGTCATAGCAAAACGTTTAAACTTAAAAATGTTATCGAATCGGATATACTAAACTTAAGTATGGTTATCGACGGATATTCTCAAAGAAAAAATCCATTACAATTTTGGCCGAGCTGATTGAATGTGATAAATTCACTTTTTAAAAAATTAATTAAAACCTTAAACTGGTACTTGAGCACTCAAAACTAACTGGGACCACTCTAAGGAGTATCCATAAAAATATTGGAATGATTTGATAATTTTTTTTCTAACGCCGCTCTGCATCGAAGCTAAAACATTTTTCTGGGTTTTTATGTAAAATACTTCAAAGGTGGTAAAATTATATGTTATTGGAGTCGGTGATTATGAATTTAATATCAGTTCTCAATTTTAATCAGCCAGAAAGAACTTAAGTAAAAAAAAAAAAATTTAATTTGTGTAAACTTAAAATCAAAAGTGGTACTTGAGCACAAAACTTAATAGTATCATTCTGCATAGATCTACATAAAATTGTTTTTAATGATTTGATACATTTTTTTTTAAGAGTTTAGGTGTTTTTGTTAAAATATACGCAATCTGCAAAAACACAGTTTTCCGGCAGTTAAAAAAAAACTGTAGTGCCGAATTTGTTTTCCGTTTAATAAGTAATGAATACATATGATTTTTAACTACTGCCAAAATTTCAACTTAAAAGTTCTAAAATTACGGCTAAAAACACCAAAAAACAAAAAATCTTGTACCCCCCTTAGGGGGGGTGGGAAATGAGTTTAATTTAAATTTGATACAACTGACGTGTGTGGGTATACCAAATAAATATTTCTTATAAATTTCAACTCGATCCGACTTTTTTTCTCGAAATTATAGCCAGTAAAAGTTCTAACTTAAAAATTCGTACGGTTTTTTTTTTTGTTTTTTTCAAATTTTAACTATGAAGAAGTAATCTTTTTCAACTTTTACTCCCTCAAAGTACCAATTAGATGAAATTTTTTATTAATAGAGTTGCTACTCGAAGGAATTGGTTCAGTATTAAAAAAGTTACAGTGTATACAGACACACCAGAGTAAAACCAATACCTTCTCCGTTTTGCATCGAAGCTAAAATGATTTCAACCATTTTGCTTTAAAAAGGTATACAATAAAAAATAATTTAAATAACTTCATTTTTATATATTTTGTTTGGTAATTACTAATTTTTAATGTAAAAATTGTGTTATTTTCTTTCTTTTTTTTGATACTATTTATAATTTGTAATTAATTTGTATGTTACTCTCTTGCCTTCGGGGCGTTAAATATACAATTATTAATAATATGAGAAAGCAGCTGAAGTCAATAGGTGGAAAGACGAATATAAGGTTAAATTTGTATACATTTTTGTCAAAGATACTGCTAGTGCTTTTTTTGGGAAAATTCAGAAGACAAAAAGAACGATAGAATTCAAACAGTATTTCGCGCCAAACGATACCTCCACAAAGATGGCCGTCGCCCGGAGATCGCGGTTTGGCAGAGTGCCTCCACACCACAGGTAATACCGCACCACTTCCCGCCGATACACAGCATTCAGCAAACAATGTATTCCAACGGACCTGACTGACAACAGCAGAGCGGTGCACATAAATAAGTATATAATATATAATAACGATTATCAAATAGCTTAGAGCTGTTATTATCCGTCTTAGGTTAACTAGCGAAACTAAATCAAGGCGATTTGCAGCCCGAAAGTAGTCATAAGGTGAAAATATGAAATATTCAAAATCAAACTGTAATGTTTGACAAAAATTTTGATTTTCGTTTACAGCACTCATTAAATTTCTAATCTATAACTGAAAGTATTTATTAGATACAGCACTACCGCTGTAAAGTAAACCAATGGAGAATACCTAACCTCTTTCAACTAATAAGCAACGGAATGCCTCAAACACATTTTTATCTTTTAATATTTAGTAATATTATGTATTCCTCATATTTAAAGTATCACATTACTTATATGTATTGCTATGACTGTTCCGAGTCGTCGCACCATTATTTAAATTTGTATTGTGAATCGGTTTTGTTTTTTCCTCGAATGCTTTAGAACGTTATTCTTTGGACTGTATTCTTATTTTACCTTGATCATGGTGTCGTTGCGGTAAAAGCGTTTTTATCAATTCTGAACTTGTTTCTAGCTTAATAAAATAAAAATCACCTATTTGGTATAAAATAAAAAACTATTAAACTACAAAAATGTGTAAACTGAATTTCACATAAAAAATTTAATATTTCTTTTATTTAGCACATTTTAAAAACTAAATATTGATAAAAATCTTAATGAAACCAAATTAAATAGATAACTAGAAAGGTTTAAAGAATGATTTTAAACAACATTTGCCCTCTCGTCGCGTTTAATTAGGATATCACAGACTAACAAGGACTTTAAACAGTAAATTGGTATTAAATTAATAACACCCAATAAAACTCAAAATTACCAACTAGTTTGGTTCATACGGTATCTCAGTACGTATCAATACTGTTGATAGCGCTGCTTTCTTCTAAGATAAATATATATAAATAATTGTAAAACCAAAAATAGTGTTACTCAGTAAATATATTGTCTGTATGGTATATTTTAACAACAACATATTGACAAAATTAATAATTTACCAATTTATTTGTCGCTACAACCCTTTATAGCGTGTTTCACTTTACAAGCCTAATGTAATAATACGTAATACCTACCAAACCATCGGTATTTTTATGATCATACAACTAATTACTTCAATACGTAACTAGTTAACATATTTTTTTTTATTCCATACAAATTACAGACAAATTAAATAATTAAAAAAAAATATTATTCCGTTTATCCATTAAAAGTGATTAAAAACGGTAGAACAACCTTACATTTTAAATTCTAAATAAAAATAACAATTTTATATGGTGTCTTAGGTAAGGAGATTGTTTGTTTTCAAACTGTACATCGGTAGTGCCAAATATAACATACAATACAAGTCAATCAATTTTTTAGAAAAGTATAAGTGTAATTTCGAATAATTGGAAAATGTTAAATTTTAAAATATATTTCCTTATTTAAAAAAGTGTTGAATTTTTTTTTACTTAAAACTTATGTCAGAATATACAGCCAACCGTTAAAATACACTCTTTCAAACACATAATAATAAATATAATAAGTAAAATTACAATACCTAATTAAGTATAATATACAATGTTATTTACATAGTACTAAAACAAATATGACATTCATAGCAGTTAAAAGTGTAGCGATCATATTTATTTTTTAAAGTGTATTCTTTAACATTGAATATTGCAAGTAATTAGTAGGCAATACGATCATAGATTAAGAGTAAATATTATAAATATTACCATACAAAAAAAATTAAAAATATATAAAAAATGTACCGAGTTGTAGGTGAATAAAACAATAATAAAAATTTTTATTTTATTTACCGGTTGGCAAACGTTAAGATGCGAGTTTCGCGAAAATTAATTTGAGCACACATCATGTAAACAATAAAATAATATTTGGACATGACAACAATTTACAGTTATATTGTGGTAGTTACTAGTATAGCAATGAAAGTCAAGAGATAATAATAATCTAGCAACATTAATGGTGCACGCGTTTGTGAGTTGTGAGATTGTCTTTAATAGTATAGGTTTTGCAGCACAAATCACATTTAAACGGTCTCACACCAGTGTGCAGGAGTTCATGTGATTTGAGACGCGACTTTCGCGAAAATGACTTGGAGCACATATCACAATTATAGGGCTTTTCACCGGTGTGCCATTGTTTGTGTCTTCTTAGGGTAGTTCCATCAGAAAATGATTTATTGCATACGGGACATTTATAAGGCTTTTCACCAGTGTGCAGGCGTTTATGGGTTTTCAGGTTGTTGTTAAGAGAAAATGTCTTAAGGCACACATCGCATTTGTAGGGTTTTTCTGCAGTATGAACGCGTTTGTGTGTTTTGATGTTGCTGTTGTTAGAAAATGACTTAAAACATATATTACATGTGTAGGGTTTTTCTCCAGTGTGAATGCGTTTATGGCGCACTAATTCTATTTTTGATAAAAACGATTTTAGGCAAACATCACATTTGTAGGGTTTTTCTCCAGTGTGCACGCGTTGGTGTTGTTTGAGATTGCAGATTAGAGAAAATAATTTTAGACATATTGAGCATTTGTAGGACTTTTTCTCAGTGTGCAGGCGATTGTGAATTTTAAGATTGCCTTTTTGAGAAAACGATTTAAATTCTTCAGTAAACCGCTTGCGTTGTTGTGGTTTTTGGAGCGAAATATTGTTAAGTGTACTTTTGTGATCTTGAACGATATGTAATTCAATTTGTCGTTTGGTGTTATAAGACTTATGACAATAATTACATTGGAATGATCGCAGTTGTTTTGAAGTTTCATTTATTTTCTTTGATGCTTTTTGATTACTAAAATAAAAAATGTGAATTAGGTAGTACCTAGATAGTTAACAAAAGTAATCTTTTACAAAAAGACAAGATTTAGCACTTTTACCATACCTGAGTGTATTTCTAACGACTTGTTTTCTAGTGTTTTCCTGAGTTGAGTTCACACCATGTGATTCTGTCATGTGACGAGCCACTTTCTTTTTAGTGCTACACGACTTTTGGCATAGGTCGCAACCATATGTTCGTATTTTGTCCGAATCATAGTTCATCGTATTGTCCAATAGCCAATGTTTTTCTACCTCTATCACAGATTCGAAATAATTTCCATCTACTAGATCTGCTTCGACTTTCACGATTATTTCGTTGCATGTTTCTCCAACACTATAAAAGTAACAAAAATTGTTTTAACTCTTAAAATGCAATAGAAAATCAGATACTACAAAGAAACCTTATTAACATATTAAATATTGTGTAAGTTGCTTCTAGTTAACCTAAAAGTTTGTCAAACTAGCACGTTTTTTTTTTTTGCTAAATAAAGAAGCATACAATAAATATAACTATTAATTAGTATAATATTAAATTAAAATAACCTAATATTAATATTGAATATGTATATATTGTCGTATTTAAAAAACTAAGAGGAACCTCTTTACCTATGAAGCAGTAGACAATTGTTCTGTATTTATTATTTTAGGTTTGAAGCTGGGAGATTGGCTTATGGTAGTTCTTCTGCGTTAATATTTTACCTTTAAGTTTTATCAAATCAAGAAATCTTTAGTATCTACTAAAAAGAAACTTGTAACTGAGTTTAGTTAACTTTGGTCTTAGGCAGAAGGCGATTAAGTCAATTTAATAATTATGGTATTTATATTTATTTTTCTTAATTTAATTAAGACCTTTCTTCCTGAAACCGACGGTTAAAATGGCTTAGTTGTGAATTTTAGATCTCAAAGACTTGTCATCATTTTGATATCACAAAAAAATGAATTGCAAACAAAACATAGTAAAACAGTGGGGACATTGTTACATTAAACGGGGTTTTATGATTGTGGTTGTTAGTAAATCCTATTCTTCTTCTTCTTCATCAGTTTAACGGTCCATTCAGGACCAGCGCTGCCATCAAAATCTCTCTCCATCATTCTCTCTGATACACTGTCTGTAAGGTTGCGTTCTGGTCTATCATTAATAAATCTTTGGCAGCTACGACAACTCATCAAGTTTTGAGTTTTCTTAGGGGACTTGTTTTATTTATTTTGTTGACTAACACGTTTTTAATTTAGTAAATCATATTACACATATAAAAGAGGATTAAATAAAATAAAAGAGAGTTATGAAATTACTTCCACTATTATAGTTTGATATTTAGTATAATAGATTTTTTTTAATTAAAATTATTTTAAGACACCACATTACTTGTTTGTTTTTCTGTCCAATAATTGTTGATAGCTGTTTCGAGTTGCCGCTGAACTATTATATGATATTTGAAAACAAGAAGATTGTTGGAAGTCATTGGAAAGATGCTCTTTAAGCGGATCATTTTCTTCTTCTTTTATTTCGTCCAACATATTGTAAAAACTATCGGATGACTCTTCCATCTCAATTTTAATTTTAATTTCGTTATCTCTAAAAAATAAAACATTACATTATTAATTTAAAATACACAGTGGTAGTTCAATTGTACATATTAAACTATTTAGCCTAATCTTTTACACCTGATATAAAAAAAAGTTTAGACGGCCAATTCTTGAATAGCATTACCGTGCTGGAAAAAACGATTAACTACGCTATAGAATGCCTATCAATATCCTAATCCTAATATTATTTTTAATTTAAATTCTTAGTAACAAAATGTATTTCTGATATTTAAAATATAGCCTTACTTGTAAGTATTGCCATCAATTGATATTTGTGGATCATTTTGGGTTGTCATAGCATTATCTGAAGCTTGATTATAAGATGGTTTAGTTTTATCCTCAATGGCTTTGGTAGGTCGCTCATTGGACTGTTCATATTCATCTTCTACTTTAATCATAATGTCGCGATTCTTATGCTGGACTTGTCTCTTGTTTAACAAAGTATTAATTGCCTATTTTGGTATAACAAATAAATAATATAAAATAGTAAAACAGTAAAAAAAAAAATTTGCGTTGAATACAAAAAATGTATAATTCAGTTACTATATTGCCACTTTATCTACTCAATATTGATAAGATAAAATGTAAAATAAAACCAAAGAAAATAATTAAGAACAAATTATTATAGTTATTAACAGAAGAATTAAAAAAAAAATAGATTTAATTTACCTATTGGCACCATTAAATTGAATATCACAGATTGATACAACGGTTTAAACCAAATTAAATAAATGTGAAAGAAAGCACAATAATATAAGTAGTTTAATTAAGAAACTATTTTAGTAAAGATATTAAAGTATAGAAATAGTTTAAAGAGAAACTGTAGAACAATTTCAACTGTACAAATTATATCATTATGATTTATTGAATATAATTAATATTGTTTATCTGGGTCATGGAATATAAGTAATAAATATTATATAACCATATATGGTATTATATGTGTACACTGAAGAAATCATGAGTAATATTTAAGTTGTTTATACAAGGACCAATTACGTCTGTAACCTAGATTGTATCGTATATAAGACATAGTATTAAGGTGTTGGATTTACCATTCTATTACGGCTGCTGTTATAATTGAAACGTACGTTGTATATATATATATTATTCTCTATACTGTGTGTGTTTTTTATATTTAATAGTATTGTGTTCAAACATATTATTGTTGTGTTTTATTTTCTACTAAAATACTAACTTCCACCAAGATATACAGGCGTTTATCGCAATATGATTAACAAAAAATAACTATTAATGGCTGTATATTTCACATGAATTCTTCCCTACGGCAGTTATGTTGCGTGTTTATATTATACACAGCCTAAAATATATACATATTTAATGTGTCTTAACCTATTCTCTAGAAAGTTAATAACTCAGCAAACAAAACTGCCCAACTACATTGTCAAACTTGTGACATTGAGCGCAGACAAAATAACAAAAATGCGTTGAACACAAAACAACCGCAACTCACTTACTATACTTCCTACATGGCACATTTTAACAGCTAAATATAAATAAAACAAAAGAATCACTACTATGGAATTTATCTCTACTTAACCGTCAATACCACTTTTTACTTACAAGCTTAAAATGAATATTATGTATATTGAAAATTTAAATTATTTAAAAATTAACTTTAATTGCAGATATGTAAGAAATGTAATTACATAAAGAAAATGTGGAACTCATTGTCGATATTACTCGGTAGGTACTTACAACTAGACAGCTACGAAGAGACCGAAGATGCCAGGGCTTTATAACGTAGTCGCTAAAACAATTAACTCCAATTAAATCACACACTTAATTTAACATTATTATTTTTATTATATCGCATAGGTACACAAAATAATATAACTCTTCAATTACACCACATTTTTCTTGGGCTAAACTATGGACACAATAAATAATATATTATAATACAAAGAGAAGCCTGACGCTATGATAATGTGATAATATTATAACGCGTGTGATAATTGATAACTGCTAAGCGATAACGGCCGCCGTCGGCTGGAGGTAGAACGCAATGGAGGTAAATATTCAAATATGAATGGATTAAACAATATTATATTTGCACTACATCTATTCTGTGATCTTTGATTTTTAATCCATCTTAGGTGTGCTGGTTCATAGGTACCTACTATGCTGGAACACCAATTATACATTAGCTATTTTGCCAAAAATCATAGATCTTTAATCCAAGAGATTATAAACAAACACACTCTTTCCCTTCTTAAACAGTAAAGTTAATATATTTTTTATAAATATAAAACATTATATCTAGTAAAATCAGCTGGTGATCTCAATATGTGTAAAACAATTTATGACATTGGTAATTACATATATATATATATATATATATATATAACTTTATTACATAGATCCACTGAAGTGAAAATGCTGTCTGGTAACGGGAAGAAATAGACAGTATAGAGACTGCAAAACCAACATAAAGGTTAAAAACCAAAGAAGTAAATTAAAAAATTAATACAATATAGCGTATTGCCCAAATTTACGGGTATCTCTTTTAGCTTCGATGCAAAGCGAGAAGGTATTGGTTTTACTCTGATGTGTTTTTTTTTTATCTGTATGCACTGTAACTTGTTTAACTGTATAATTATTTACTACTAGATACTACATATTGTTTTTGAATAAAACAGTTTAGAGCAATAAATTTCAAATGTAGTTTTTAGGTATAAACAATGAATCATAATAATACAAATAGTAACATTATGTACAATAATAATGTACAAGGTTAACATTAAATACATAATAACATTAAGGTATAATAATTGAAAGTTTATTTTAAATTAAGATTAAAAAGAGTATTTGGTTATTTACACACTAAGTGTTACTTAATATTAGGTATAAACTAGTTATTAGTTCCTAAAATAAAAAATTATAATTACATAAAAACGAGGTTAAAAAGTTCTATTTAAAGATAATTTCTAACTCAAAGGTTTTACATTTATTCTTTTCTATTAGAAAACAATTTCAAGAATACATCTCATTTGCAGAGCTTTTCTCCAGTGTGTAGGTGCATGTGCTTTGTAAGTGCACGTTTTACAGAAAATAGCTTTAAGCACATATCACATTTGTAACACTTTTCGCCGGTGTGCACGCGTTGGTGTTTTGTGAGGTCACCTTTAGAAACAAATGACTTTAAACACACATCACAATTGTAGGGTTTTTCCCCAGAGTGTGTGCGCTTGTGTATTGTTAGGCTGGATTTAACAGAAAATGATTTCATGCACACGTCACATTTGAAGGGCTTCTCACCAGTGTGCACGCGCTTGTGTATTGTGAGGTAAGACACTTGAGCAAACGACTTTAAACATATGGAGCATTTATAGGGCTTTTCACCAGTGTGCACACGGTTGTGTTTTCCAAGGTCGCTCGCATTGGTAAATGACTTTAAGCACACAGTGCATTTGAAGGGCTTCTCACCAGTGTGCACACGTTTATGTATTTGAAGCCAAGTATTTTGAGAATATGCTTTTTCGCAAAACTCACATTTGTAGGGCTTTTCTCCAGTATGTACTCGCATGTGCTTTCTAATTTGAGATTTGTCGGAAAATGGCTTTAGGCACACATCACAATTGTAATACTTTTCGCCGGTGTGCATGCGTTTGTGTGATTTGAGATTAGATTTCTGAGAAAATGACTTAAAGCACGTATCACATTTGAAAGGCTTATCTCCCGTGTGCACGCTTGAGTGTAGTGTAAGGTGGGCTTTCCTAGCAAATAACTTTAGGCACACATCACAACTGTAGGGTTTTTCACCAGTGTGCACGCGTTGATGTATTGTAAGTTTACTTTTATCAGAAAACGACTTTAAGCATATGACACACTTGTAATGCTTTTCACCAGTGTGCACGCGTTTGTGAGTTTTGAGGTGGGATGAATCAGCATATGACTTTGAACACCAGTCACATTTGTAGGGCTTTTCGCCAGTGTGCACGCGTTTATGTAGAGCAAGGTGGCCACTTTGAGAAAAAATCTTTCTGCACACATCACACTTATAGGGCTTTTCACCAGTATGCACGCGTTTGTGTGTAGTGAGAGTGCCCTTGTAGGAGAAGCACTTGTGGCACACGTCACATTTGTAGGGCTTTTCTCCTGTGTGCACTTTTTCGTGATTTGTAAGGTGGGATTTTTCATAAAATGAAATATGACACACATTGCATTTGAATGCCTTTTCACCAGTGTGTGTGCGTTTGTGCTTTTTGAGTCCCGATTTAACAAAGAATCTCTTTGAGCACACGTTGCATTCGTAGGGCTTTACACCAGTGTGTACGCGTCGTTCGTGTACTTGGAGTTCTGATTTTTCATTAAAAAACTGTAAACACACGGCACAATTGTATGGCTTAATATCAGAGTGTATTAGTTTGTGTTTTGTGAGTCTAGATTTAACAGAAAATGACTTTAGGCACATATCACAACTGTATGGCTTTTCACCAGTATGCACGGGTTGATGTATTGTAAGTTGACTTTTATCAGAAAACGACTTTAAGCATATGTCACACTTGTAATGCTTTTGACCAGTGTGCATGCGTATGTGTGTTTTGAGATGACATGAAAAAGAAAATGACTTTGAGCACCAGTCACATTTGTAGAGCTTTACACCAGTATGCACGCGTCGTTCGTGTATTTTGAGTTCTGATCTTTCATTAAAATAGTTTGAACACAAATTACATTTAAAGTTTTGGCTGTCACTATTTTTAAATGCTTTAGTATTCCGATTGCGATGTTTAGAGATAGGTTTTCGTGGCGCTGGTTCAATTGTTGACGTTTGGTGGGCTTGTATTATGTGGAATGTTATTTGCTTTTTAGTGATGTACGATTTTTGACACAAATTACAATGGAACAATCCCAGTTTTTTTGCAGAATTTTTACTGTCTATCTTCGGTGCAATTCGATTACTAAAAAGATAAAGTTTATAGATTAGTCAGTACAAGTTTAAAGAGTTTACAAAAAAGACGATCGAACGACTTTATTTTAACGATGACAAGCTGATAATTATAAGTATAAAATACAGATTCACCATACCTAAATTGATTTTTAACGACATGTTTTCCAAAACTGTTCTGGTGTGTCTTCTTTACACTATGTGTTTTTGTTATGTGCCCAGCCACTTTTCTTTTAGTAGTAAACGACTCTTGGCAAATGTCGCAAACAAATTTCCGTACTTTGTCCAATTCGTAGTTCGGCAGATTTATATCCCAAAACCTGTTTTCTTCAACTTCCGCCAAAGACCTGAAACCATATCGGTTCAATAAATCTTTTCCGACTTTTACATTGGTGTCATTGTACTTATTTATAACACTAAAAACCAAAATAACTTTTTTTAAGCTCAAAAAGGAAGAGAATATAGTTACAAACAATGTAACAATAACAACAGTAATTATGTAACAAGTAACAAATTTTATGTTTACAAAGTATATACTCTGTAAACATAAAATTGTGTATAATATTGCTATCAGTTATTAACCAAGTTATGAAGAAGAACTTTGTCAAACTAGCATGTACAAAATATCTGATAAGAGCACCTCGAAGCTTTTAATTTGTGCGTGCGTCACTACATCAGGTCACTTTATCTGCATAATTACAAAGTTTATACTCCAAAAATATGTAAAAAATATAGTTACATATTAGTAATTATAATCATTATTAAAAATGAGAACAACCTCTTTATCTAAGCTGCTATGAAAAACTAATTACTTCTTAATCACACTACTCTTCCTTAAGTTTTAGAAACGAAGTGTACCTACTTCTTGTATTTAAAATATCACATTACTTGTATGTATTGACATCATTCATGGTCTGGAGCGCTACACCATTATTTGACTTTTCATTTTCAGGAATAAAATTAGATTTTGTTTTTTCTTCATCGACTTTGGTAATAAGTTCTTTGGATTGTTCATATTCTTCTTTTACTTTGATCATGGTTTTCAGTTTTGATGCAATTAACTATAATTTTCCAATATTGAAACAAACAAAAAGTTATAAATAATACAGATAGAATAGTAATTTAAAAAAAAACCAATAACGTGTTTAACACAAGAGAATTGTAAAGAAATATTTAAAACCCTTAACCATAAAAATAATACACTGTATGCGTCATTCTTTGACTACTATGTTGTCATCTTACTTAGGCTGACAGGATGTCAGTCTGTCGTTAGTGCTAGCAACAATGTTGTCATACATTGTTGCTGAAATACGTAAACGCATATTGTATTATTTTTATGGTTAAGGGTTTTAATTATTAATTTCCTTAATATATATATATATATATATATATAACCATAGGTTGCTTTAAGTTTTTTGTAGACAAGAGAATTGTAGCAGAATAATACGCAGATGGTAAACTTTATTAACTAAATATTGATAAAAACAAAACTAACAATAACTAGGTAAGAACATGTTTATTCATTTTTACTGTTTACGTTCGTAATGTTACAGCACCCTGGTTTTAAGAAAATGAAACATTAAATAAAGCTAAAGAAATTTACTAGATTGATAAAAGGATATCACAGTATAGAGATAATTTAAAGAATGTAAATTAGTATCATATTATAATATATAATCACTAAATGAGGCCCAATATTAACAAAAAAATTACTAGTAAGGAGAGTTGTGCAAATTCTCTTACAAAAAAAATGTATTTGAATAATACGTTATTCGAATTATTTTTTCACAATTTATTCAAATAATCTAGAAAAATCTTAAGCAACTTATTATGGTGATATATAATAAAATAATATTTAAAACCCTTGACCATAACAAGTTATATACTCACTACGTATTCAATGTACCTATTTCGGCAACAATGTTGTCATCTTTAGCTAACAACAGACTGCAACCGATTACGGGCTATCACCTCCTTCTATACCTATTCAGTCTGTTGTAAGCGTTGAAAATGCCTATATGGTTGCCAAAATACGTCATCTACATGGAGAGTATATCATTTTTTATGGTTAAGGGTTTTAAATATTATTTTATTATTCCAATAACAACTTATTCGAATATTTTTCAACAATATAATAATTAAAATCAAACAGGTCCGGCATTTCAATTATCGAGTTCAACACCGATAGCATACTCCTGAGCCGAGTACCGGGCTAGAAAATTTATCGATCCGGACTATGTGTATAATCGGTCGTTCGATTACATTGCAGCCGGCCCAGGATGGCGCTGTGATTCTAAATGGTGTGTGTGTGTGTGTGTGTGAAACGGCATTACGGACTTTAATGGTATTTATGAATTTTCACGGTACTTACAATTATTATACAACCAGGAAGATACTGATGGCCAGCGCACAATTACCTAGACACTAAAACAACTTACAACAATAAAATCACGCACTCAATTTAATATTTTTTATATTTATATATTGTAAACACAGCAATAGTTTATTGTTTTACTTCATAAAATAAATCAGGCTCATCACGGGCTAGACAGAAATTTTAAAATTATATTACAATTTACAAAAAAAAAAAAAATTGAATTTGATAATAATATATTGTCACTTGTGTAACTGATAACAATAGCTGGGGACACAATAGCGAGTGTCGACTAAAGTAGGTAGCGGTAATAGGTAACTATTCAAACGCGGGTCCGAGGGTCGATATCGTTAAAAAGAGATATAGAGATTTTTAGGTATCCCATGGGAAAAAATAATATCATGGAAATATGGTAATATGATTAAAATTCGATCATTGATAGTATCACAGTTCGTAGTAAATACTGAATATTGATAACTGACAAATTATGTATCTTATCTACGTCGTGACCCTATTTTTTACATAGTTAAAGTATTTTTTAGTTTTAATATATAGTCAAATATTTTTACTTTAAAAAATAATAGAAAATTTAGAAATGTGGATTTGATTAATTTGAAACTACAATAATTTTTTTTTTTTTTTTGGAGTGATCATTTTAACATAGTACTACACTCATTCGGCACTTTCTCATACTTTTAAACTAAAACAACAGCCACATATTTGTTGTGTTTTGTGCTGGATACTTAACGTAAATACTACAAAATAATATTCTTATTACAATGATATACTTAGCACTGTATAAGAAATAGCCCCCTCTTGCAAGTATTCATAAATGTGTTTTACACATAGGTATATAGTGTTACAAAAAAAAAAAAAAAATTAACAAGCGATAAGGTGTATTTAATGATGATTTCCAATTGGAGTTAGATTTATATTTCTCATCTTTACAGCAGTGTGCAGTTTTTTTTTTATAAAATCATATTTATAATTTTAAAATTTTATACCTAAATGTGAGACTTGTGTTTTATGATTAAAAAGTATTGTTATAATTCTACAGTTCTATTTCACTACTACAAAGAACCGTTTCGATATTACTATTTTGCAAGCAATTTCATTGCTTAAAACTTTATATTTTTCAAATGCGAACAAATATTCTTTCCGTAACTCAAGTATATAATATTAGATAATGACTGTTTACCTTCAGTTATCAAGCAATTAATATAAAAAAAAAAAATTTACAAATGTGAACCTTTCTTAAACTTGAGGAAATTATGAATAAAATACAACAAAAAAAAAAAACAATTTTTTATTTAACTTAATACCTTATTAATATTTATAAATTGTAAAAAAACATTTAATTACACATTTTTCAAACATAATTACTATTTTAATATTGACGTACTGTAAAAAACAACAAAATTTTATGTTGGTTATTCGTTAGGTTGTATTGAAGAAGCATGTGATTCTATTTGGGTCATGACAATTATGATTAATTTGTGGTACATTTTTTAAACGATCCAAACCGACGCCGTAATAATCTTTTAAGATAACAGTTTTGTAATACAACTTAACTTTTCACTTACATAAATGTATTCATTCAAAAGAACTACTTGAAGTCATCCTTTAAGTTATTGTAATTCGCCAACAAATAATAATAACTCATATGAGATCGTCTACTAATAACACAACTTTCTATTTTGTTAAGCTTCGGTAAATCCATTTCATCTAATACTATACTAAAAATAATTTGCAATAATATGTCTTCAGTTAAGTTTTAGTTAATGTCGTTCAAGTTCGTTTAAAAAATCCGGGTTTGGTTATTAAATAATGTAATCAAATACGGGTGATTTAAAGTGCATTAATGTATGAAAATAAAATGTGTTTTTTATTAAGTCAACATTATTTTATGTTCTTGTTAAATTGTGAATTAACAATGTATGACTAATGTAACAAACATAATCTGTATTTTAACATTTGACCAAAAAAAATTGAATTGTCCGTCAAATAATTACTGAACACAGATTTAAAATGTTTCAATTTACACTATACGGTACATTTTTTTTTATATAGATAATTTAAAGAGATTATAAATCAACAGATTGTAAGTTTACAAATTATAGTATTAATATAAATAAACCTAAAAAAAAAATCTAGTGTCAAAACCAAGTATATATTATTAGAAATTATTACACCTACAACAAATCATTTTTTTTATAACTTAAAAAGTAAATAGAAATTTTTTTTGTTTTAAAACATTTGCCATATTTTTGAAACCCTAATCTTAAGCACAAACTTATAACAAACAATATGTCCATTATTACAAAAAAACTGCAAATAAAATGTACCTACTAGAACGGTCAAAACATTATTTTGGTTACAATTTGGTTTGTGGTAAAAAAAAAAATTGTATTTCTGTATGGTGATGAATGGACAATTCATTGGAGTCTCGATTTTAACTGTTCCAGACCTAGTTCAATA